TTCATCGCTCGGCTGCGTCTGCCTACGAAACATTGGCTTCTATTTTACGAGCACTTAGCGAGCGTGAGATGCTTTTTAGGTGGTCGAAGCTCGAAGCCACAAATTATAGTTTATTTGGAGGCTTCAAATGTCCCGAAGAGCCGAGGCCAACATGGCAAGCTATCCCATCATCACTTCGGCGTGAGTTTGAGCGCAGTGCGTACGGAGCCCCTATCCCTGAAGACAGCCGTTTGGAGCCGAATTTAAGTACCGCCTGCGTGCGCTATAGAAACCGTGCCGTCTTTTGGTCTCTGTGCCTGAGCGCTAATGGACGTTTGAGCTGGAACTTTAGCCGAGTTTTTGTTTTAAGTATTGGGGGCTTGATGACGTTGCATGCATCTGCACCTTGTGGTCTCATGGACTCTGACTTGGCAAAGCGATGCGATGCTTCCTCAAGCATAGGCTTCTGCGGACATTCCACTCCAATCCAAACATCGTGGTCGACTATGACGAGATCTTTCGAGGAAGCGCACGCGCAGAACATCAACACCGGGGTAGACAACGTCGAATGCCTGTAGACCGAGCATTTTCCCCGAACTTCATTTAGTGCTGAGGAGCGGGCTGTTTTTCCGCTCTCTCCCCAATGCTTCGCGCGTCACGTTACCAGAATACTTTTGAGCACTAGACCACACCAAGCCGCTTGGAAATTGGGTTGCGCGAATGAGCTATTAGTACAACGTCCGTGCGCACCATCATCATGGAACACCACCATTAGCGATTGGAAAACCAGTTTGGATAGCTTCTTGTGACAGCTGGAGGATTCACAGCCCCTTCCATCGAATTTGGTACTACCACACACCCTCAGCCTCCTACTGCCAACTCCCATAATTGGAATACGGATATGCGCATGCTCTCACCCTTCACAGGCCCAACTTGAGGTACGTCCAAGATGCATGCTCAACAGCATCCTTCACCCGATGCTCAAGCGCTCTTGCGCGGCGTGAATCGTAGCTGAAGAGCCGGAAGCGTCACGGTGAATGTGTCCATTATCTCCTTCTCAAATGCCTCTCCAGTCTCTCCAGGCGCGAAGGAGACGTCGAAATTCTGCGCGATCATCGAAAGCGAGATACGTAAGCTCATTTGGGCCAGGTTCTTACCGGGGCAGCTGTATGCGCCTACGAAAATGTTAGCTGCTGACTGCGAGTCTAGGACGACGACCGTATGAAAAGGACTTACCCAGAGAGAAAGGCAGGTATGGAGCCTGGTCAGTCTCCATCTCAGTCCTCTTTTCGCCAAACCTCTCCGGAACGAAGTCTTCAGCCTGCTGCCACCATCGAGGGTCTCTTTGAATGAGTGAGACTGGAATCACGACGTTCGTGTTGCCGGGAATGTACGTGTCATCGATTTGAATGCCCTTTGCTGGTGTTTCGCGCGCTCCACCAGTCAATAGAGCCGGGCGAAGTCGCAGTGTCTCGCTGAGGAAATCGTCCAGATAAGAGATCGACTTGACCTTTTCGTAGGACCACTGGCTGTATCCACCCGGCATTGCTTGATCGAGGAATTGCTGGAGCCTTTTCTGCTTGTCAGGGCATTTGGCGAGGTAGTAGAGAGCTCCTGCGAGCGTGGTGGCTGTAGTTTCACTACATCCCGTCAGCGGTGTCTCTGGGTTTCTACATCAGAATTACCTACCTTCCGGCAATGATCATTACTCTCGAATCGTCCTCCAAGGCTTCTGGGCTTGGCGAGGCGGAAACGTCATTCTCCTTCACAGCCTTGAGTAACCAGGACACGACGTCTTGCGGATACTTTTCGCCGTCCCAGGTCTATATTTCGTTAATTGTTTGCCACCGGTAGTACGATCACAACACACACCTTGTGCTTTTCGCGAATCTGGCCTGCGCAGAAGGAGAAGAAGTCCGAATAGCCCGCCGCCGCTCCGGGAATAGAGCCCAGAACGTTCAAGAGCCACGGAACCGTGCTCATGATTCCCAGCATGGTCATGTGGGCATGCACTCCCTTGATAGCAGGGTGCTCGACACCGCTCGTGAGATTGTTAAAGTCTTTGCCGAAGCCGACCTCACCCATGACGTCGAAGCTGAAGAACATTGACCAGGTGGACACATCCATTGAGGTTGCTCCTTTGGTTGCCAGTTGGGTCTTGAACAAGTCCGCCTTTGCTTTGATGCGTGGCTCGTAGGTGTTGAGCGCTATGTAAAGTTAGAGGTACTCGTATAGCTCGTGAGCTCATACACACCTTTGATGGAAAACCCGCGATCCCATGCACGGCGACGAAGGCGGTGGCTGTTGAAGTCACGCGTCATGTGTACGGAACATTTCTTTGGGTCGTTCCCGGTTTGGCCATACCACGTTGACTTCAAACATTCCGAGTTGGGCCCATAAAGAGTCGGAACGGCTGACTTGCGTAGAACACTGATCTCTCGTGGACCTTTGATGGCTATTAACATCCGCTCGTGCCAAGCCTCAATTTGGTGTTCGCTCACCTGTGCGCACGAAGTCACCGTACTGCTCGTGCATCTTTTCCAGCTCTCTGAAGTATTTGACGTCCTTCGCCGCGAGACTTGCAGCGTGAAACTTGGAGACCTTTGCGGCGAACGGGCCTGGGAATTTTCGACATCGGTGGAAGAATACTCGGTAAATGGCAATGCTGGCGAGCAATCCGGTGCTGAAACTGGTCGCAAACAGTAAAGCTTTCGCCAATCCAAAGACGTAGAACATCCCGAAGAAGCTCAAAGTGAAAGCTGCCATGAAGTGGAACATGACCAGCTCAAACTCGAATGGTCGAATTGAGAAGTGGAAAACAATGCCAAACAGAACAGCAGCTGCGACACCTTGCGACACGCTGCGCTGAGCGGCATCTCGAAAGAGTTCCATGGTGATCGTGGAAGCTCTAAGAGTTTAGCAGAGCTATCCAGTGGGATTCAAGATGTCGAGGAAACGGGCAGGGCTCCAGCTCGGAGACAGAATCCAAGGTGCATAGCTTCGAATATAGGCATCCCAGCCAACACGCGCTATTTGCCCACTTGATCGTTTCCAGTAAACCTCCGCAAGTTTTGAAGACGGCTGGTATCTTCTCCACGGTCCGAAAATCCCCATGATGAAGATGCAGGAGTAGCGCGCATCCTTCGAGGGGGGTTTGATTTACCTAAACTCCGAACGGTTCAAGGCCATCGAGCGACCTCTGATAGGCCCAAGATACTCCAGGCGAGCTTTGCTAGCTGCAGCATGCCCTGTACAGCCCACGTCTCGAATTTTCCGGCTCTTTACCAGTGATTGCGTTGTCTGCGTGTTGTGCCCGGGGCTCGATTCTCGCAACGATAACGCAGCCGAACAGCACTTAGAATTGAGCGGCCAAAATTCTCTTCCAGTGGATGCTTGTATGCGTCTACATATCATTCAGGAGCGTCGGTGTCCCACTTGGGCCCTTGTTGCAGTGAAGCTAACGGTTGTTGTGGTGGACGTGCCACCTGGCAGCACGGCTCTGCTAGCGGGGCGCGGAAGCGGCTCGCCTGCAGCCACGGCTGTTGTCTTCACCCGCTCCCCTGGGGACCACGCGTTGACGTCGGGCGACTCGACCAACGGGAACCACGTCTTGTTGCGGCAAATGCGCAGTCTCGAGGATCCTTCGCTTCTCGCGATTCATGCCAGGCCTCCCACATACGCACATCTTTCCCAGCAATCGGGCCTCCTTCAGCTGCCCAGGTAGAGTCTGCGGGTCGAGGATCCTGCCGCACTCTTCCTTTCGTATCTTGTGCGCATGGCTTTGCGGAAGCATGCTGGCATGTACGTGAAAATTTCAAGCAGCTGCTTATGTTCACTTGTTCCATACGCATTCCTAGCGTGTGCTTGTCGCCGGCTCGGGGCAGCCCTCGCACTAGGTTAGGTCGAGGGTCGAGCCGTGAACCCACGCGGCCAACCTGCCCGCTCCCTAGGCGCCCGCTTAACGCAATGAAGCACAATTCTAATCATGCAGCAGAGCGGCCTGGAAGCACAACTTATCCTGGAAGATGCGGAGGATCCGACAGGAGTGATTTAAAAACAAAGCTCAAATATGGACATCACTTACCGATCATGGCAATGCATGCATCGCATTCGGTTTGATGCATCGGGGATATTTATCTCGAGCCCGTGGGGGCGGGCAGGGCAGGGTGTTGGTGCCAGGCCTTGAAACCGTTCGTAAACGGGGCATGACGAGGACTTCTTTTTGCGAGCGTTCATCTCCTATAGGTACTTCTTGAATCGTGGAGCTTCCGCTCAGGTTGAGAGTTGACATATTCGAGAGAATCCTGTCGTAACCATGGGACTGACAACTCTCCAGCCACTGGCGTATGCTGTGGCATATGTTTCTTTCTTCTTTGGAACAGTTTCCATATTCCTTCGTTTCTATTGCCGGCACTTCGTGCTGCGGACTAGAGGGTGGGATGACAATTTCGCGATCTTGATTCTCGTACGTGTTCCAGACCTCATTACATTCATATTCGCATGGCTAACAAGCTTGTAGCTCTTCAGTATTGGACAACAAGTCGTTCTGCACATGTTCATATACTGGGGATGCGGACTGTACGACCACTTCGATCACTCTTTGATGATCTTTCACTTACCATTGGCGCAGACACATGAATACGCTGAGCACTGTTCAGCAGCTAGAGATTCTCAAGGTATGGCCCAAGATTGACACTCATTCCGGACCGTTCTGACTAGTATCAAGTGGCTGTTCATTGAAGAAGTGGTTTACTACTCAGTTCACTGGGTGATCAAATCAGCTTTCCTCCTTTTCTACCTCCGTCTTTCACCGAGCCCTACTTTTCGAATAGCGGTATACATTGGCGGAGCTTTGAACGGTGCCATTCTGGTTATTAATATGTATGTGCTACCCCCGCCATCAGCGCCGAAATCTGTTCTCCCTACCGCTAGACAATGTCGTTCTGATCCTCACGACAGTTTGTTGGCATGCTTTCAATGCGTTCCGTTTGATGAGATCCTCCACCCAGGTACACATCCAGATGCTGTCTGCATCAGCAAACTCGTCCTTCTCATAGGGCCTTCCATCCTCGTAAGTCCAGGACTGCATTTCCGAAGAACGTATTACTGATTGTGTCACAGAACATCTTGGAAGACTTCTACATCCTCATCCTCCCTATATATACCGTCATGAATCTCCAAATGTCGCTTCGACGCAAAGCTGCCGTACTGGGCGTCATGGTCTTTGGCAGCAGTTCCGTCATCATTGCATGTTTCCGACTCATGCCCCTCCTCGAGCTCAACGACTCACCGGACACGTCATGGGTGCTGGGAAAGATGGTCATTGTCGCAGCACTCGAAATACAATTTGCGATCATCGCGGTCAACCTGCCGAGCCTCAAGGCACTGTGGACAAAGTTTGGGGGCGGAAGTTCATCTGGATCGGGGCCTGGCGGAGGCAGCTCAACCCAAAAAGGCTACAAGCTCTCGTCGCTTGGCCAGATTGTGACTATCGGTTCTGAAGCAAAAGGACCGCGGGGATCGAGATGGGGGAAGAAAGCTCGCAGAGGGAGCATCACACGGTTGGAACAAGGCGTCACAGCTACTGAATCGGAAGAAGAGCTGTGTCGGAAGGGCGGAACAACATCACAGACAGGGCACTTGGCACCAGAGGGCGACATTGGCGCTATCAAGGTTACGAAAGATTACGATGTAAAGAGTTCAGACTGTACAGGGCGCAAGGAGCCCGCCGGCATCACCTCAGACTACTACTTGAAGAGTATGTAAGTCTCGAGGCTGACATCAGTCATTACTGTCACACTTGGGCGTGCACCTAAATCCTCCATGGCCCCATATAAATGCGACATTGCGGCACATGTGCTATACATATTCCACGGTATGCATGCAACCTCACCAGCAATCTCCTCCGTGCCAAACCAGGCAAGCGTTCTTTCCGCGACACGACTCCCGAGGTCGTGCAAGGTTCTTTCATATGGCCATCATCGGTGTTGCCGAGAATATTAGTGGCTCGCAGCTCGCTACCTAGGTTCCGAGACCGAGTTGATAGTGTCCACTAAATGCGAGATCGTATTTCAACATGCAACCTTGGAAATTCTAGTCCGCGATTCCCGACCATCGCTCCGCACTATTCGCATTACTACATTCTTGATACCACCAGCGGTCATCTCAAATGTCTTCTTTCGACGCGGCCGTGGCCAGGTTTCAACTTACGATGTACCACCTGGCAGTCGTACTGTCACGCTTTGAAGCTGAGACCCTCCGCATTCCGCCGCTCCTGCGTTTCTTCACAGCAGGAGCAGAGCCGCACGAACTCCACCTGCAGGCTTCCATGTTTGTTGTTGCCCCGCTACACGCCTTCTTCACAATGCCCCTGCTCGACAGATTATCCTCCAAGCGCCAAGCTAGGTCATGGTGTGGCCACCTACGTTATTGTCTGGAATGGTACTTCTTCTATTTCACGGCATTCTGGACGGTCATGTTCATAATAAGATGATCAATCAACGCAATATCGTGACGCTGATAATATCGCAGACTCTTCTGCGATCGCGTGCTGCGAGTGCGTTGGTGTCATTTCCCGTATTATATCAGTCTACATATCATTGACTGCATCAATGATATCCTGCGCCAGCTTCTCCGCGTGCACATAAGTGACACCTTGCGTGTGCCCTGGTGCCGAGAAAGGCAGAGAACTCGCATCCACAACCCTCAGGCCACTCACGCCAAACACCCTAGCTTTCGAGTCAACGACCGCCCCGCTCGACGCATCTCTTCCCATCGCACACGTCGCCGCGCCGTGATGAATAGCGCCCATCCCCTTCGTTCTGATGTACTGTAAGATCTGCGCATCGGTCGTGATGTTCGCCCCCGGCGCTATCTCTTCGCCAAACGCGGATATGCTGGCTGCGATCGTGCGCGCGCGTCTGTATGCCGCTACAGCAAGTTCCTGGTCTTCGAGCGAATCAAGCCAGCCCACGTATACGACGGGTGCAACAGCATTGTCAGCAGACTGAATGGTGACATTTCCCTGGCTTGTGGTGGAAGTCAAGATTGTGCCTATGACACCCGTGTCGCTAGCAGTCTGAGCCGAGGAGAGGATGCGCTCTGAAGCTTGCAACACGTACTCCACATTCGGCCAATCGCTTGGCAGATCCCGCAAAAAGTCGAGAGTCGACTGGCTCATGTTCGTCGTAAAGCGATCGGGGAACCTCTCCCAGGCGGCGAAATCGCTCGCAGGACTACTGAGCGGGCCAGATCCATTCGTCAAGTATTGCTCCACAGCGGCTTTAAAAGATGATGACTGGCGCTCCCAGGCACTTCTTCCAGGAACGTTCGTGCGATGGACAACGCCACCAATGGCGGGCGTATCTCGGAGATTCTGACCCACACCATTGAGTTCGGATAAGACAGTTATGTCATGTCTCTCGAGAACGTCGCGCGGTCCGATTCCGGAAACCATAAGTAGTTGGGGGGTATGAATGAAACCACTCGAGACGATGACCTCTTTCCGAGCATGAACGATAAACGGCTTCATCCCAGCGACGGTGACGTTCACACCTATGGCGCGCTTGGACTCATCAAAGAGGAGCTTACGTACCATGCAGGACTGGTAGATCTTCAAAGATGTCTTTGCAGCTGTCGGAGAAAGGAAAGCAGACTCGGTACTACTTCTCGTACTGTCCTCTGGCCTCAAGGTAAAAGGCCAATAGCCATACCCTAAGAGATTTCCGTCTAAGAAGCCATTCGCCGCGCTTATGCCAGCAGCTGCATATCCCTCCGGACCGTACGAGGCTATCGGTTGCGCGTACTTTGGCAAGCTCAGATGAACAGGGCCTCCTGGGGCATCGAAAGCGGAAAGCGTGTAGTTGACGTTACTGGCGTTCTCGGCGCGGAAACGAGCATCTGGAGGTGTGAAGGAGAAGCTTTTCTTCATGAAGGGGAACATGTTTTCCCATAGGTAGGCAGAATCTCCAGTGAGGTTTGCGAAGGATTCATACCAGCCTTTAGTCGCTCTGTGGAACTCAGTCAGACGGGTGCAATGTAAGTTTGTTTGGAAGATACATACCTGTGATAGATCTCTTGGTTCCGTGCCGAACTACCCTATGAATTTGGCCAAAATCAGTATCCTTGTAAGCATCGTTTGCGAAGAGATTGGCACATACCCCAAGTGTCTTTCCCTGCGCATAGTGAAAGCGTCTTCCGTTGGCGCCAGGTATAGGCTCGGTGAAGATACCCCAATCGATCAAGGGCTGGTAATCTTCTGGATTCGGACCAACATACTTTGTCGAATAGTACGGACTGTCTCCACGATCAGCATGTGCCCTCGCTATACCATTTCGAATTCAACTGACATCTGACTGTAGTTACCATTCGATATCTCGTAAAAAGAGCCTGCTTCGATGACTGCGACGGTCATGTTTGGCAACGCGTCTGCGATTCGGGATGCTGTGAGAGCGCCGGCCAAGCCAGCTCCAACGACGACATAGTCGTACGTCGCGTTAACGCCAGGGTTTCCGAAGGAGTTACCAAGTAACCGCCCAGGAGCGTAGAATTGCTGTAGTAAGCTGGGGCTGTCAAGGTCGGCTGAGGCCAAAGAGGCCAACAGACTGACTGTCGTTGCGAATCTTCGCATGGTATTGGCATGGGAAACTCAACGCTGTACCCTTCACACCGCGAAAGCACTTGTCGCAATCCATTTCTTATACTGCAGAATCGCGCTTCACTAGGTATGACACGATCCCATGATCTACACACACCTCAAGCCACTACAAGTCGGCGATGCTATAGCCTTAGGCATCGTCGCAATGATGGCTTGCAGAAGATCTGTAAAGGCAAGTTGCCGTTTAAGGTAAAAAGTATCTTCGTTGGTCGTTGTGACAGCCACTAAAAAGATTGACGTGCGACGGCTCCGTCCCGAAGGCTGTTTTAGCGGCGATCAATGCATGTTGAGCTTACTTGGGGCAAGAGGATGGTGCTTGCGCTGCAGGATGAGTGATGGCGAGTAAGCTGCGATCGACTGTGCCACTCGCATACAACGGATCGATCGAAAGATTTGTCCAGGCAAGGGTGCCATCATCTTGGCGCGCGCGTCAGGACCGCTTCCTGACGGCTCGCTCGCCGTTCGCTATCGCGGCTTTCGCTTATTCAACACGTTATTAGGACGCAAAAAGAAGTTACGCAGAGCACAAGCCTGTCAGCCCGTCGGGAATGTGATTTTGCCGTCCCGAGTATTAGCTCGTCCAGCACGGCCTTTCTTGAACAGAAACTACGCTGCAACCGCCAAGTAACCTGCCGTTTGTAGTGTCAGTGGTTGGCGGGGCGGATCGGCCATGTACCGGTAGCCGTTTGAGGCACATGACCTCGGGACCGTCCGGCACGGTACCTAGGTAACACCGACACCAACAAGCTACGAGATCGCGCAGCTTCCGACATGGGCGGCGGAACACCGCGAATGAGTAGTAACGAGCAAGGGACTCTGCAGTCTACATTATAAGAAGCACCGAAGCAGCATTGTGGCAGAATTCATTTCATGATTTGACATCAACACTACCAAAATGTCTGTCCAAGATCATGCTCCTTTATCGCAAAGAGCTGTGCCCCATATGAATCGTCTCTCTGGCACACACGTCCTCGTATTCGGCGGATCTTCTGGCATTGGGTTTGCAATTGCCAGCATGGCACTGTCAAACGGAGCTACTGTTATCATCTCTGGATCCCAGCAAGCAAAGATCGAAGACAAGGTCCATCTTCTTCGATCCCTGTATCCATCTATTCCTTCAGAAAAAGTCATTGGCTACGCGATCGACTTAAAAGATTCCGAAAACCTCGAATCAAATCTAGGAACGATGTTTGAGACGGTTACATCGAACGGCAGCAAAAAGTTGGATCACATCGCATTCACGGCAGGAGACCACCATTCGATACCCAAGCTCTCAGACATCACCCTCGAGCAAGCCATGCTTGGTTCCAAAATCCGACTTATCGCGCCCTTGTTTATCGCTAAACTCATCAGCACCGGAGCGTACATGCATCTTACGTCAAATTCATCCTTCACGCTCACGGGAGGAATCGGAACTACAAAGCCTCTGCCTGGATGGCTAATTCCGGCAGTCTGGGGAGCATCTGCAGAAGGATTATCGCGTGGGCTTGCAGTCGATCTTGCGCCGCTTCGGGTGAACATCGTCAAACCTGGCGCAATCGAGACAGAAATGCTGCAAGGAATGTTAGCCCCGATGCCGATAGAGGCAAAGGAAGGCATGAAGAAGCAACTCAATCTATTAGGTACTTTTGGTCAACCAGAGGACATTGCTGAAGCGTATGGCTGGATTATGAAGGATCGCTTTGTGACAGGCACTGAAATAGCTGTAGATGGTGGACAGATGCTTTTGAGCAAATAGCTAGAAATAGCATCTATTGTATTATTGTTAGGACTTCGCTCTACTCTACATACAGAGCTTCCTCCCTCTTATATAGAACAATTACACATATCTCTTTTCTTGTTCTAGAAATGGGAGATCTTTCCCGTGCGGCCGTCTTAAGAAGCCGATTTCCCTGCTACACCATTGGAGTACAAGTCTCTCTCAAAGACGACTTCGGAACGTCGTAGGTATCAAATGGCGTTTAATTTGGGCAAAGACACTGGATGAACATGCCAAAAGGGCGACATTAGGACGCACAGACACGATCTGTGAACATTGCAGGACACATAAGACATTAGGGCAAGCGACACAGCCCTGGAGGTGTCATCTGAGCAACGTCTCTGAATTCGA